CTGATACCTTTCATAGTGATAACTCAAGACTTTATCTGGAGATCAGAAACGAACACCAGTCTCCAATGACGACAATTTCCATTTAAATTCATGTAATAACATGGCACATTTAACTACATGAATGAGAATCTCATTTATACCTGAAGATTGCTTCGTATTTGTAAAAGTACTATTTCTGTATGTTCCAAGGAATTTAGTTTCCAAAGTAAAAGAGGCAGACTGAAAATGTAACAGATTCACTAAGACCTTGAATCTAAACTTAAACATTAAGTTCATGTAAAAATGTAAGACATACGAATACCAAGACATCCGCAGTAGCTATACAAGTTAGTCAGAATTGCAGGTGCTTGGAATAGAGTAAATATAAAGATCATTGCAATAGAGCAAACATCAGTAAACACAAAACAACTATGAAGAATAAAACATTAACCTTGGTATGCTATTCATATGATCACTGGTGTTAGTGCCAAGAATGATAAATAGAGGGAAACAGCAACCAATTAAGGTATGTGCACTTCCCCTAATTTATTTCTTTCCAGATTAATTCAGGTCTTTATTTTAGAGAAACAAAACGAGGAAATTACTTATTTGTTACAAGACCAGGACCGCAGCAATAACATGTAAAATTCACGTCAACAGTTAGAAAGGAAATAATGATATTGTTACAGTTACTATGCAAGATTTATGTTAGTTTCTGGAAACCTCAGATGCTATGAATTGAAGAAAAAAAAAAGGTATACTATCAGTAACACCTACACTACAATACCATAGTACACATACTATAAGTAACACGGATAGAACCAGGTTTAAGCCTCTTCCTCGTCATGACGAAAGACATTAGCAAGAAAAGTTACAAAACTGCTGTAATGGGCAAGGACCTAAAACTCATGTCTGGAGAATGAAAGAAGGAAATAGGTGTGAAACACATAGTACATATTTTCTAAAATCCTTTCTACAGGATATTTGTTCCTAAGAAGCACTGCATGCAAAGAGGATCATGTTTCTCAAGAATACATTTGATCTTGCTGATTATTCCTCAGTTATTTGCCCTAAACTCCTTTCTGGGAATGGATTGTCTAGAGAAACCAATCCAGCTGGCAGAAGGAGTAGTCTCTTCTATTCTTAGTTTGATTAATATGTTTTATTAAAAATTCAAAATTCAAATAACTAATTCCTTTCCATAGCATCTTTCTTGTCTGTTTTATGCACTTCAGCTACTTGCAGGACATACTCTACATGTGCTATGCCTTCAGGTAAAGCATGCACATTATTTTATCTTTCCCAGCTTCTAAAGAATCTTTAGAAAGTGGTTGTGGGGCTTGTTTGTAGTCATCTTTTGTTTGTTTGTTTGTTTTTGGGGGGGGAAAGTGTCGGGAGAGGGTGGGGAGGATGGGTTTCTTTTAATTTCCCCAAGTGAAGATACAAGGAAGCTAAACCTACATGCAAGACAAAAGATCTGGCATTCTGCACTGTTGCAGTTGATATAGGGGAAGAATAGTAATAGATAAAATAATGGTTAATTATACACATTAAGAATTTTAGAGTATAGAATATACTATCATATAGCTTAAGAGGAAAAGAAACAGCTAACAGATAGAAAAGTTTGCTTTCTCTTGCTAGTAAGGACTTATTTACAGACAGAAGGAACATTCTAACCTTATCTAAGTAAAAGCAACCCTGAGAAGAACACTCAACCATGAAAAGGGCACTTCAACCTCATCTAGAAAGAAACCATAAGGAACAAGAATTAGAAAACAGGATGGCACCCGACACAAAAACATTGATAAATCCCCTTGCTGAAGAGAAATAGATGGTAAACAAGGACACAAATTAGCTCAGATTGATAAAGACATTACAAGCTTGCAAAATCGTCGCATTCCAGGGAAAGGGTGAAGAGTACACTGCGAGGAAGGCATACGGCCTTCCTCTCAAAGACCACCGAAGACCCCTGCCCATAATTTTTGAGAAGATCTGTGCAAGCACGAAGGACTGATAAGCTAATTAGCATACAAAGCGGGAGTAGGCGGGGTTAGGTAATGAATATGTATAGGCGTCACATGAATATGTGTTGTTTCACTGTATAAATGTGGGAGGGCTTGCCTCCTCGGGCACGCACGTTTGTGGTGGAGCGATCCCCCGTGCAATAAACATACCTACTGTATAACCTTTGGGTTATAGAGTCTATCTCCGTACGTCACAGTACATTACAGGAACAAATTACACTATTATATACATTAGCCCCTGTACTAGTAAGTCTAAGGAACCTTTTAGATGGAGCCAGCCTTTATCTTACCTGTCCTGTATCCTGTGTTGTTGAGGTATACTGCAAATGTACGTATTTCATGCTGAGCCTGCCAGGATGGAGAGGAACAGTTCTCGTTGTTAGTGTAAGTGTTGTGGTTGTGGACATACTTCCCTGTAAGAATGGAGGAGCGAGATGGGCAGCACATGGGTGTTGTCACAAAGGCATTGATGAAATGAGCACCTCCATGTTCCATGATCCGCCTTGTTTTATTCATCACTTGCATAGAACCTGGAAGAAGAAAACCATCTCAGAATTACTTTCTTATTTCAGTCACAATAGCCAACTAAGAGCTCACATGTTACATCAGAGACCAGAATGAAGCATAGGTAGTGAGGGCATTGTAATTTCATAGCAAACACAATCCAAATAAATTATTCTCTCTCCTATGGTAAAGCTTTCCCATTGTTTTAAGACTGTTGTTTTACTGAAGCCCTAAATTAAGATTTGGCTTAAACCTGTTGACACAGATCATATGCTTTTCTAATTACTCTCTCTCTAAGATCAAGATTTACCACTGTAACTATCTGCACCATCTGTGCAGGCTTTCTGGAGCCAGTAGCACTGTTCCAGTAGCTGAAGGCAAGAACCAGCATGAATTAGGCTGAGACAATGTGGCCTGAGGGTGAAATTCACTTTGTGCAGCAACCCTGACCAAAGTTTGCATACTCCTTAAGCATTATTTAATCCTTGGTTTCAAAGGATACCTTGACGCACTGCCTTTTGTGCCAACCTTCTGCAAAAGGCTGAGGGTTGTAACTACATAACAGAACCACTGAGGTTGGAAGGGACACCTGGAGGTAATTTAGTTCAACCCCCCTGCTCAAGCACAATCTGCTAGAGTTGTTCTCTAGATAGAATGTTCTTACCTCTAATGTGAGGCATTGATTTCTGTAACTTCCACTGAAACAAAGACAAAGTAAAGCTCTCATAAGAATTTCCATAACCAGCCCACTGAATTCTATCTATCACTTGATCCATTCTGACAACAATGTTACCTAAAGCTCTCTAAATTTTCTTAGACTTGGTTTTGAACAATCAGATTTTTAGATGACTACTTAGTACAGATAACTCTACACAGTTTATAAACTTAATCTAAAACCAAACAAGTTTAATTGGCAGGGAGTTGGATGAACTGGGGCAATGGGAGTGAAAGTCTTTCTGCCAACAATTACTAGAAGCCACACTGCTGCCAAATGACTGTTCGGTTTCCCATTTATGACAAGGCTTTGGATAAAGACTAGATCTTTACCAGAGACATCCACCAAGCTAAATCTGGTACCATATCAGAGTTCTTCCTACATACAGAAGCACCAAGGACCAGAAGAAGACAGATGTTTACTTTCCCTCTTCTACTGCTGCCCAATAGTTAAAACTGCATCAGAGTTATACCTGATCTAGGAAAAACTTCCAATTTCCAAAGAACTTGTAATGGTACCTGTCATCAGCATGACCCTTTCCATCACCAACCCTCCATTCTTGTTTGGGCCACAGAAAGTCCATAGACAACATGGAGATGAAGCTATAGGTTCATGCTGGAGCAGGGCTTGGGCTAACTTACCCATGCTTCAGTTGGATTAATAGTTCAGCTTTAATCAATGCATCCTGCAACCATCTGGCACAAACTGTATGTTGTCTCGTTCAGTACTGGGTTTATGTTCCTTCTAAGCTCTTTAGGCAGGGATTTCATTATGAAGTTGCAACAGTAAGTCGATTTGATACAGAGAACATTGACATTACCAGGAGTCAGAACGGTCATAAGTCACATAGGACATCTGACTCTCTGGCACCATGAGGGAAGGTTAACTGCTACTGTAGCTCACCACCTAAGAATTATCATGCTATTAGTTTTCATGAGATCATTTTATTGAAATGAGTATTAAAAATAATTAAATTAGAAATCTGTGTGTATTTCTCAGGTGAAAGTACATCTGCGTCACATCACTCTGACAAAAAACGTGGCAGGTCATCACACTCTCCCTTTAAAACTTGCTAAACTTCACATATCAAAAAGAAATGTCTCAAAAAAATCAGGATTTTTGGTTTCCATAACTGTGGGATAAGTGTTAATAGTCAATTATAGAAAATGTGAGCCTAAAAACTGTGTTTCCTCTGTGTTGTCTTATGAGGTAGCCCAAGCGTAAACAGGCAGCTAGAGAGGATGTTTTGTCGTCCCAATATTAAAACACAATTTAACAATTCCTTTAAATGACAGAGGCATCTGTGCATAAATAATGGTATATGTTAAGACTCCCCTTGGGGACAGTAACCTTCTTTAATAAAACTGCTGTAATGACAAGGCCCTATATATCAACAGTCCTTAATAGAAAAACGTATGATCTAATCTGCTTCCCCAGCTTGAGAACTAATACAGAATGACAGATCAGTGGAAGGTAAAAATCCAGCATACTCTTCCGGGCAATCTTAAACAGGCCAGCTTTAAATATTTTAAACAGCATTAAACCAGCCAACCAAAACTTATTTTCTTCAGTTTGCCTCCAATACAAACAGAATTGTGAGAAAAAGTAGAAATTGATCTTTCTGTGGCAGAAGATCAGTTATGTGTTGAATCACCTTTTGAGTTGGAAAACCTTCTGGGGTTTCATTAGTGGATATATCAAAAGAAGTTATGCTTTGAAGTATCAATATTTAATTCAGAAAGTGTTCTGCTACCTGTCTAAAACCACTCATAACAGAAAATTTAGTAGTTAAATGTGTAAAGTCTAAGCTATTAAAAAGAAAATCCACTGAACTATTGTGAAAATATTAAAAGTTTAATCAAATTGATGCATTAAAGCTGCTTGATCACTGTGCAAAGCAAAATCTAGGTTGAAATTCTACTTGATATTTATGTGGTCTAACACAACTTTGCTTAGTGTGTCTCCAAAGTTTGCTTTAGAGATAAGTCTGATATTTTGACCAATACTAATGAAGAAAATATACTTGGTTTTAGAAATAATATGACTTTCTCATTAGTTGTCTTTTGTTGTCAGAGATCATAATTTACATGAGCTTTAGGGAACTCCAGCTGCTGAAGAACTTAAGTCCCAAGTGATTTAAGCACAATTTAAGAAGTGGTATCCATACGCAGATAAGTTAACTGAACCCCAGAACGTTAATTAACTGTCCCTTAAAGACTTCTATTTTTATCCTATTTCAACCTAATTAGGTACCCTTTTCACATCTTCATTTCCTGTTTTTTCCTCATATTTAATTTTAACAAACCTCTGGGGCCCTAATTTCCATATATGATAACTAAGAAAAAAAAAAATTGTCTTCCATGCCACTTTTGTAGTTTTTCATAGTAAGATGTTGAACATCCAAATCACCTCTCACTCAAATTTCTCTATTGTTGCTGAAATATATTCTAAATAATCAGATCTTTCTCCAGCTATGAGATAATGAAATAAGCTGGTTTGTTAAACCACAGCAATATGGTAGGCAAACCTAATTAAACTGGAGATGCTGAGTCCACCACACAGGGGACATCAGCATTATACTAACTTAGACTTAAATGGCTCTAATGGGGAAGAAAAAAGTCTGGTTTTCGTTAACTCTTTCTCCTTGTCAGTATATTCCTCTTCTTTCTATCCTGCTTGTCAGTACAACTCTTGATTAGATGGTCAGCTGGATATGTTTCAGTAGTTCTTGGTGTTCTCATTTTTCTTCTCCCATTTGTATCTATTACATTTCACACTCATTCTCCTTTGGCCTGGAGATTCTTTTCACCAGTCCTCATCAGTCTTTTTCTTTTTTCAGTACAAGGCTGAGATTTGGTTTTCCAAGTAGAACTCATGATTAACAGTAGTGCAAATTTAATTTATTTAAAAAAAAAAAAATTGTACTCCTTTCCTGAAGGGACAACATTCTCTTCCTGGGAAACTCCACCTGCTACTGGCACATGGTTAAATCTATCTTAAATTAAATAAAGGAAAAGCTGTTAAGAGCACTTGAGATTGTGTTGTCTTCACTTTTATCTCCAAAGTAACCACAAAAGAACAATGAAAGCTACAATATCCATCAGTTACAGAATATTCTTAGAAACTGATGAAATCTTAGTTATGCACTGTTTTCTCTGCTACACTTCTAGAGCTTCCAAGTTTTCCTTAGCTTTTATTTGTAATTCTCATCTTGTTTTCATCTCTCTTAAATGCATTAACTGCAATGCCCACAAATGACAATTTTGATTAACTTGGACAGCTCACCAGACAACAGACAAGAATAAAAATTAATTCAAGCAAATATTGGGTCTCACAAAGCCATTAGTGGCAAATGATGAATATAAAATCTCAGCTTCATCAAATGGATTTTTCTTAGATCCTAATTTGCGTGGACATCTGCCCATTATGCTTGAAAGTGCAAAGCATCAGATTATCTGAGAAGAAAAATATACTGCCCAAAGGACTTAGATAATTGCATCAGAAACAAGCAGGTCAGCATAAAACAGAAGATGATAAATTTGTACATTATTGAAACCACTTTATCCGTGATCCATATAACCATTAAAAAAAAAAAGACAACAACAGATTTCTGATCCTGCTGATTTGAATTACTTTTGTACTTATTTAGTGGGGTTGCTGCCATAGCAGGCCTTCTCACCACCTCTGAGAGGAATGTGACACCTCTGTGACCACAGACATGCAGTCTCAACCAGGCGCGTGAGTGTCCGAGTAGGACGAGCTGCTGAGCCTTACTGTTGTGTTCCCTTTCCTCTGCGAGGACTGTTCCAGCTCTTCCCATCCATACGAGAATTCTGGTGCAGTAACTCTCCATAAAAACCCCACCAGACCACATATAGATAAGCTCTCACCTTTCAGATGATCCAGGCTTTCTACTCACTTAAAACCATATTTCTAAAGCAAAATTATTAGTGTAAACGGGTTTGTGTTAGTGACTCCTCCTAACTACAGACAACATTTGATAAATATGGGCTTGTTCAGGTGACAGAATAAAACCTTAACTGTCAGTTAATTCATTATTCCAAATCATTAGGCAAAGTGTGTGTTTAATCTTCATGTCCTTTCTTCAGCAATTAAAATAACATGCAGTAACAAAGAACAACCTTTTCATACTAAGTGATTTTAGCCAGTAATTAACTACACATCTAAATGGACAACATCCAGAATAGTAGGACTATTAGGTAACATTTAAGTAATTAAAATTAAAATTGTATATGTAATGAATGTCTGCAATTACACACAAAAAATTGGCTAATTACACGTTGCAATAATCATCTATGAATTTAAACCTACTGCTTTGGCATGTAGCTTCCCAGGTTCTGCTTGCAATTGCCAGAAGTATAGTTTACATGTCTAGATTAAGACAGATACACAGGAATCTCACATTTCCACAGAAACTGGAAGTTTGACATTTTAAGTTAAGACTGAGTTTTGGTTTCCTTGAACTACATGCAGCTGGAAACTATTTTCTACGTAAAGGTAGGTTTAAACTTTTGCTACTTGTTCTCCCTATCATTTTTCACAATGGAAAAAAAAAAAAAGGTAATAGTTTGAATGCAAAAGTCTAGCTTCTAGGAAAAGTATTGCCATACTCATTAGCTAAAATTCTCTTTACGTTGGGCTCTTACCAAGCTCTACGTCCTGATCATCAGTAAGAACAAGGATGATGTTTGGGCGGATGTTTCTGCGGTCTCTCTGAAATCTTCCCTTCAGACGCTGATTTAACAGGAAAGCCGAACTTCCATCCAACAGTGATAAAACAGTCATCATGAAGAATCCAAGGACAATACTATGCTGTGCCATATTGTGCTGATTTAGTGTTCTCTCTTAACAAGGTAGGTTAATGGCTTCTATTTCTTTTTTGTTTGCAGGTCTCCTGTAAGGTAGAGGGAAACAAGTATTTATTTATACCTTGACCCTTCTCTGTCCCCCACAAGGAAGAGCAAGGTTCTGTCCAAAGTAGTAAAAAGCAATATGCCTAGAAGCAGAAGCTTGAAATCAACTCACAGTTCATAAGTCATTACCAACATCAGCAACAAAGTTTCACACTATAATCAAATTTGGCAGCAAGTTTAAGGATTTAGAAGGGTATCAAACTGTTACTTTTGTTTTGATACATAATAAAAAGCAATATTCTTCCTTAAAGTTTAGGAATGTTTTGAGATTAAGTTTTTGTTTTCTGCATCAAAAATGCAGATGTTGAAGAAAAAACCCCTCATCTATCCCTATGTGTCAAGGGGACTGTTGTGAAATTCACTAAGTTCAAAACACATTTGCAAATTCACAGAGGATCCTCAGATAAATCAACGTCCAACAAGTCTTCTATCTTATACATCTTATAGCTGCCCAGATCTTGGAACTATGGTAAGATACTGTTTGAAGTCTATCACACCTTTGATGTTAGTGTGATATCTCTTCAGCATTTCAGTTGGTTTCCAAGATTTTTTTTTAAAACATTATTATTGAACACATTTGACGGCCCATTACTGCAAATGTTGGAGAATGGATGCTTGTCTGCAACCTCTCCATACCCCAAAGCCCCAGAATTCACATATTTTCAAAACAGAGCATGTCTAACTGGTCCTGCCCCTGTCAGTGAGCCAACAAAACGTTCTTAGCAATTCCTACAAGGAGATTCCAAAAAAATTAACCTGTTGAAGAATCTTTGAAATCATAGTTTTGCTCAGCGATCTTCTGATATAAAGGAGTTTTCTCTTGCTTCTAGAAGTCATAGCAACAGTATGAAACTGTATTGAAAATATCAACTACTAATTATTTTGTCAGATCCAGTGATCAATGAGTCAGTTTTTTATGAATTCCCTACTTGCTGCCTGCCTTTTCCTGGACTGGTGCCAATAATCTCTTGTAATGCAGTGAAAAATCAATTAAAAATGACACAAGGGGGACTGTCTGCTTTTTATAAAGAGCAGAAATGCTTGAGTAGAGAGAATCTAGCACAGTGTGTTTTATCCAAAGAAATACATCAGCTATTCTGTCCCTAATGCCACTTGGGAAAACAGTTTTTCCTCCAGATTATTTCATAGCTATATTATTACTTCATCTCTGTCAGCGTCTGTTCTTTGAGATAAACTTTCCTTTAAAAAGTTCTCATAAAATAGTAAAACCACAGGTCTGAAAAAAATTATACTCAGCTTCTATGCTTATTTCAGAAATATATATTGAATTTTAATATAAGACAACAGATACATAGCTATAGCATGATGCAATATTTATTAAGGCTGCTTTCAAAAAATGTGCACTAACAGGGTTTTGAGGAAAAGCAAAATTGTTCTTCCTTGCTAATCTCTCCAGTGGATTTCACAGGCAAGTGAAATTAACTTTTTTCACAGAAACTAAAAATTGATTTTAAATATCCTGGCACTTGT